GCAGGTGAGTTTATGCGTTCAGGTATCTCTTTCGGCCAGACGCTGGTTCGTGGTTTTTGATTACGAATATACAAACATCGGAACACAGGTGACTGCAGCAGGCCTCTTGGGCCTTATGAGACAGCTTTTATTTATACCCATCCAGTCCCACTCTTATGTATGTCCAACCCATGCTCGAGTCCAGCACGGGGCCTCACCTCCACCAGATTATGAGGTACAATGGTGGTGGTGTATATTATGGGGTAAATGTTACTGTGTCAGGATGTTATGAGGTGACATTTTGCTGCAGTTTTCTTACTGTGGATGAGTGTTGGAGATTGGTTGTGGCATTTTGTTTGGTCCTTCTGTGCTTCTTCCTGGGGCCTTCCTAGTTCGTCTGGGTTCATTGTTGCAGGGGGGGGGGGTCACGGCCCCATTTTTTGTGATCTTATCTGGGTCACTCATTCCTTGCCCGTCATGCAGTGCCTGGCTTCGCCCTTCCATATACATTGGTTTCTCGGTACTTACCTAGTTGTACTTCCCTAGTTGTGTTTGCAGGGATTGAGCTCTGGCTTTTTGATCCTGCTTCTCACCTGTCATTCGGTAGTGTGCAGGTTCCTGAGCCTGCTGGGCTCTATCATGTCTACGCTTGGAACTGGGTGTGGTGTCATCCTCTGACACTGCATCCTTCTTTCCAACGTATCTACGGCTCCTTTGGGCTCTCATTCTGCCAGTATCCCCTGGCGCGTGTGCCCCTAGGGTCCTGTAGTCGTTCTTTCTCTACCCTTTCAATTCTTTTGAGTATCTTGAATGTGGTGATCATGTCCTCGTAGCTCGTACTCCTTGGTCCGGGTACTGGTCTGGTGGCGTACCTTTACATCTTTTCTGTTTCGCCTTGTGTTGGAACGTGTCACACGCCTGTGTGTTTTTGGCGTGGCTTGTTGGGACATGACCAGCGGCTTTGTGTTGTTGGTCGTGTCCCTTTCATTCCTGTTTGCTACTTGCCTTCTTCGTTCCTCTTCTTCTTTCTACGCTCTTGTCCCTGGCCATTGGTGCAGGGGCTGTTCTTCTGGTCTTTTTCTTGTGTTTTTCTGTTTTCTCAATTTATCCTACACATTGTTGTGTGTTTTGTTTGTGCCTTTTGGCTCTCCTATTGCCAGGTTTGGATTCCTGGTTTCCTGGCTTACCCTGCTTGTTGGCTTTTTCACGGTCTTGTGGTGTCCCTTCTCTAGAGTCTCACGTCGGTATCGTCGTCTCTGATCTCATGGCGGGCTTGCTGGCGTTGGGATGTTTTTCTGTACGACAGACGTTCCATCTCCTTTCCCGGCATGGGTTTCCGTCTCTGCTGGCTCCATGGTCGCACCCGAGATCTTCCTGTGGCTCCGCCTCTTCTAAGGCTCAATTGGCCTTTGCGGGGCTGGTTTGGTTCTGCTTCGAGTCTTTCACCTTCTGTTGGTGGTCGGGTGGCTTCGTTGATGGTGTCCCACCTGCGTGCTTCTTCTTGGCGGCAGTGTTTTTTTTTTTTTTTGGCAGTCCTTCCTTTTCCTTCTGTCCCTTTTTAGGTAGCTGCGATCGTTGGCGTGGTCTTGTCCTTCTCTTGTGGAGGGTTGGGACTGTTGTCTTGCCCCATACTGTTGCCTCGTTTCCTGTGGCGCTGGCGGAGCTGCTTCGGCTTGCTTTCGGTGTTGAAATTACGTCTGTGCCGTTTCGCAAGCTGTCTTGTGCATTGTTTCACCTCCTCTGGCCTGCTCATGCGCCGCCTGAGCCATGCTGGTCATTGGACAGAGTGCTCTCTTTTCTTCTCCACGGTTTGTTGTGGCCCCTTCGGTTCAGGATTGTTTCTCGGAGGCTTTTTTTCTGTTGGCATTAGCCTCTCAGGGTCGAATCAGAGAGCTTCATGCTCTTCCCCGGCGCAGGGGTTTCTACTCCTTCGGCCGTGGCGATAGGTTTGTTCGTCTGCAGCCATCTCCTCCTTTTCTGGCAAAGAATGTGACTGCTGCTTTCTGGAAGGGACCTTGGGTTGCTGATGCTTGGTTGGTCGGGTCAGGGTGCATCATGTTTTGTGTCCGGTTGCGGCCCTCCGCCGTTATTTGCGCGCCTTGGCCTCTGTGTCTGGGGACGCGCTTTGGGTTGATCCGTTTCCCTTTTTGTGGGTGCGGGTCTCCCAGGTCATCCACAGGGTTCTTAAGGCTAGCTGGCCTGTGGTCTATCCCCGTGCCCATGATGATTCGAAGTTCGCTGCTCTTGCTGCAGTTTTTTGGCAACATTTCCTGGGCTGACATTCGGGTGCGGGGATTTTGGCGGTCAAACAGGGTACTGGGTGCTCGATATCTCGTTAACGTTCCTGGGCGTAGTTGGGCTCGTGTCGCTTTGGGTCGGCGATTGCAACCAGTTGTCTCGACTTAGTGTCGAGGAGTGTGCAGCGACCATCTCCTGGGTCAGTCCCTTTACTTTTCCAGTTTGGGTAGTTTAGCTCCGGGGAGCTGAAGGGGCTTCCCCCAGGAAACCAGCGTTGAATGTAATCAAACGCCATTTTATGGGCGAGATCCGGAGGCTCCCCGGAATCCCTCCCCCCGGTCGGCAATTTTATTTGCATGTTTTGACATCTAGCCTCAGAACTGAAGGGTGGATAGCTGGGCGGGAGTCTGGGGCTCCCCCTTCCCTTTCCCGGGGAGTGGGGAACTGCGCAGACAGCGGCACGGTGACGTGTGACATCATGCTCGTTTGCTAGTTTCTTTTTTGGGGAGTTCTATCCACTTGTTCAGCTTTTGGTAACAATTTTCACCAGAATAGGGGTTTGTTTTGGGAAGATTATCTTTCTGGGTGCCTGACCCGGTCAATGGCAGATATAGAATGCTTCCAACCACACGGGGGTTTCTATAGGCCATTGCTCTCCATGCCTCTCTGAGAGGGCCAGGTTCTGGGTTGTGGTCCCCGGTAGGCCCACAGAACTCCATACACATGACTGATGCCAAAGTCTGACAGTAGCATATCAGTCTGGATAAGCTCCGGGTAGCCTCCGGGTCTCGCCCAGAAAATGGTGTTTCATTACATTCAACTGTTTTTTCCTGCTTTGTTTATTATTTGAATTTGTTTTAACCTTTACATCCTGGAGAATGCATACTCGTCCCTAACTATGTGAAGCCAGAATTTAATTGGTCAACAAATAAATTGGTTACAACTCTCAGAAATTGGGACTTAGAATTTCACAGATTTCAAACTCTATTTTGTTTGTTTTGATGATTAGGGACCAGATTAGGACTTTTTAACCTATATAAAGTATACCCTAAATATATTCCCTAAGCCATTATAATTATCCCTATATTTTGTTTTTGTTTTTGGGGAGGGGGGGGGGATATTTTTTCTTGACCTCATTTCTACACACATTGACTTACAACTTTCACATAGTTGAGTACGAATGCCAAACAATGTTTATTACAACATACAGTACAAGTAAATTCATGAATTAGAACTGCCTTATTCATTGTGGATAATGTCAACTTCAATTATATCTATAACTAGAATTTCAACCTACTTCAGTATCCAAAAATCTAGTTTCTGACCGATTCTCACCATTTTCACATATAGTGTGCACAGCTGTCTGTTCTACACTCCCTATAGAATTGACTTTTCATAAACTCTAAACGTTTGAAGTTATAGATTTTTATTGTCTCAATTTGCGCATATTTCAAATGCCATATTAACAAATTTTTTTTTACAGTAAACTACTGTATACTGAAAACCTATATTCTAAATATATGAAAATAAAGATCATATGCTATTCTGAGAGCATAATAACACCAAATGAACAGTTGGTTATAATTTTTATGTTTTTGCAGCCGATTTCAAAATCTGAAGTTTTCAATATTCAATTTTGTAATTATTTTTTATTTTCTTGTTTTTCAAGTTACTGGTATCATTTAGACAAAGTTGGAGCATTTGTCTAGTAGATGATGCACAAAACATTTGAAAGAGTTAAAATTTAAAAAACTGAATTCAATGTCACACAACATATGACATTTTGTGTAGTTTAAAGGTTAGTGTAACCTGGTGAACATGCCACAGCTCCTAAAGGTATGCAGGTACACACCATTATTTACTGTGGAAGAAAAAATTAAAATGTTAGGAACTTTGATCATTAAATAAGATGGCCCTGATGATTTATTGACCAATCTAACTAATTTAAAAATACACATTTTTTATAATTGATCTTGTTCAATATGTAGTTCAACAAAATTTTGACCATTTCAAATTTTCTATCCTTAGCAACTAATTACATTTCTCAACTTGGAGAAAACTGAAATGTAATAAACCATTTACCATAATTTAAAAAATGCTAAAGAAATTAACAATTTTCAAACAATTTTGTCTGCTTAGCACAGGTAACTGAAAGAAATGTTTATACTGTATTTAAATATTTTATATTTTGTATTTTTAATTTGTGGACCAACTTACCCTACACTAGGTATTATGCTATTGAGTTACTTAGACTATATTTCCTATTAGACAATACCAAAAAATATGTAATGGTATAAATGGGATTTTTTTTTTTACTGTGGGGGGGCTGAACAGTAATAAAGCATGAGAAGTGTTAAGCAGGTATTTTTGGCCTTCAGTGAAGTACAGTACACTACAGTATTTCAGATGTGTAACATTTATGATTTTATATTAGCTCATTTTTTTTTTCTAAGATTCTTTTTGGCTTACTAAGTACAGTTCTCTGGTATTAGTTGCTGGCAGTTGTGAATCCTATCTTTTTGCCATTAAATGAGTTAGTAATAATGCTACTAGTTGTATGTTGAAATGTCTTCAACAAACCATCACAGCGTTGTGTTATAGGTTTTGACTGCTGTAACTTTGTGCCTCAGCTTGATGTTAGGAAAAGGAAAGCACTGGCATTGTATAGATTACTACTGTTGCTTGGTATCATCTTGTGTCAAGAGATTCATCCTTCTATGTGGAAATCAAATCTTATGTCTGAGAGTGGTGAAGAGTTGGTGATGGCGTTTCTTGTCCCCAGGATGGCAGCGTGGATGTGGCACAAGTTTTCGACGTGGTTTTGGGATCCATATGTGTGGCTGCCTCCGAACTACTCCTGGGAAGATCTGGTGCCCAATGAGAAGGTTCGCTACGCCAACTGGAGTGACCTGTGGACGTATCCCATTATTATGGCACTTTTAGCTATTCCTCTTCGATTCTTGGTTCTCAACAAACTTGTTTATTCTGTTTTAGCCCAAGCTGTTGGTCTGAGGGATGTAAAAGCACGTGCAGTTGTTCCTAACGAAACTTTAGAACATTTATTTTCGCGTTATAAGGCCAAGCCCCCTGATAGTGAGATCAGTCATTGTGCTGGTAAGCTTGGATGGTCAGAACGCAAAGTTGAGCGATGGATACGACAGAGGACATCCATGACTCGTATCAATAAATTCACCAAATTTATGGAATGTTCTTGGCAGTGTACATATTACACTTTTATCTTTTTGTATGGGTTGTATGTGATGTGTGGAAAACCATGGCTTTGGGATATTCTATATTGTTGGTATGACTTTCCAAATCACAGTGTTGATGATGATGTGTGGTGGTACTATATGATTTCCCTTTCCTTCTATTGGTCCATGACATTTACTCATTTCTTTGAAATTAAGCGAAAAGACTTTTGGCAAATGTTTTTCCATCATTTAGTCACTATTGCCCTCATTACATTCTCTTGGACATGTAACCTCACACGAATTGGAACTTTAGTTCTTATTGTGCACGACTGTGCTGATATTCCTCTTCAGCTGGCTAAAATGAGTATTTATTCTGGCCACAAGGCATTCTGTGATGCTGTCTTTGCAATCTTTGCAGTGTTGTGGGTTATAACTCGTGTTGGAATTTATCCCATGTGGATTTTGTATAGTACGGCTGTTGATGCTCCAACAATTGTGCCCATGTTCCCTGCTTATTACATTTTTAATAGTTTGTTGTTTACACTGTTGTTTTTGCATGTCTACTGGACATACCTCATCCTTCGTATCATTGCTGTTACCATAACCAAGGGAAATGTGGAGGATAACCGCTCTTCATCTGATCCATCAGAATTCTCTCATGATGAGGAAGAGAAAAAGAATAAGTAACTGAAGTAGTTCAAGCTAGAGGAAACTTACAATTGTCAACAGGGAACAATAAATATTTGAAAATTAAAATTATGATTAATAGAATATTTCAGTCTTCTAAAATTACTTATTTTGAATATAAAATTTGAAATGCAAAAAGGAATTTTCAGATTGTGTGTGTGTGTGTGTGTGTGTGTGTGTGTGTGTGTGTGTGTGCGCGTGTGTGTGTGCGTGTGCGTGCACACGTGAGTACAAATGTCTGCATGTGCTATAGTTACACATGCAGCTTTGGCAATTTTCTGCAATACTGAAATTCACTGATATATGCAACCAGCTTGCATAGACATAAAAAAAAAAAAGTTCCTCATACTCATGACTTTTTAATTGTTTTTGTATTATTCAAGTCCTGATAGTTGTGATACGAGAAGTTTCAGAAATGTAGTGTGAACATTTAATTTTATGCCATACGATCTTGTAAGTAGGTTCCAGTTTTGAGCACTGCAGTTGGGGGAAGTTGTGTGTAATTTTATTTTAATTTGTAGCTGTGATAAATGTTGATTTTGTTAAGGAAAGCTCTTCCAAGAATCAGGGTGCAGTTAGAAAACGCTGTCATGCCTGTAAGTTACAGTATGTAGTTTCTCTTTAATTTTTGAAATGATAATTTGTTCTAAATTCCTTTTCATTTAAAAGGAAGACTATTATTCCCCTGTTGCTTTTTCCATTGCAAAGGTTAAAAGATGCATTGTAGTTGCATTTTCAGTGTGTATGAACAAAATGTGTAAAATTTAAAAAAAAAGAATATAGATTGTTTGTTGTTCAAGAATTAATGACATTTTTAAAAATGGTTAAACAGGCAAGAGATCCGTGGTTAACTCTAACCTGACTTGGACATTTGATGAAAACTTTTTCAAATGGATGTCTCACTTCATCTGTTATGGCACCTGTTCATGCATACCATTATACAGTATATTTTTGTAATTTCATATGAATTTCCTCCCAATCTTCATATTGAAAATCTTCAGTAACTGATTTTGCCATTAAAGAGGAGAATGTAGTTTCATAGAGGGAGGACTGTACAGTACATAAGTGTATTGTTAGATTATAAATCTCAGCACTAGTTAAATTCATAATTTGTTGTTTTTAAGTAGAAGCAGTGATTGGAAGTGACAGGTCTGCAATTCTTGTACTTTAGCCAAGAATGGCATGAACCTTTTAATTTTTGCATGGCACTTAATTGTAATACAGTTTTAACACTTGGAAAATTTTGACCCGTTTGTGTTTAAACAGACTAAACTATTTCTTTTTCTGTGGGGAGCCCCGTTGGCTCCCTGAAGCTTTCCAAACAGACATGTGCAATATTAGTTTGGGGGCATCAGTCACGGAAGCTCTTTATGCCTACCATAGACCACGAGCCAGAATCTGGTCCCCTCAGAGTGGCACAGGGGACCAGATTCAGGAGGCACCCAGAAAGATAGGCAAAATAATACACACCACAAACTGGTGAAAATTCCAACCTAAGTCCAAACAAAGCAAAATAACTCCCCCCCCCCCCCCCCCCCCCCCCCAAAAAAAAAAAAAGCAAACCCTCCCTCCCAAACCGGCTTGGCAAGCCGACAGCTCGCCTCTTTAGTTCTCAACTGATGTGCATGGCGGTCAGATGTCACCTCTGGCCTCGCTTTCCTGTCTGGCTGTGCCAGCTGTGTGTGTGGTGTGTGACCAGGTGTTTCTGGCCCTATGTCAGGAGTGGGTTCTTGCTGGGTGGGGCGCACTGAGGCCAGCGCAGTTTGCTCATGCAGCGGCCAACGTTTCTCTCTGGCTGCCTGTTTGTTGTGTGTTGGGCTTCGGGGGTTTTCTTGTTCTTTCAGAAAGTTTTTGCTTTTGTTACAGAGGTGGTCTACCTAGCGTCTTATTAGGCAAGCCTAGGTGGTGTTGGTAGTCTTCCTCTGTTGCCCCCAAGATTTCACGGCTACTACTGGTGGTTAGTTTGCCTACTGATAGACATGGTTTACCAGCTTAGCTAGCCCCAGTGCCCGAGTTCCCCATAGGGCTTAATCTTCCCTATGGGACCTGGTAAACCCCATTGGGCTCTGGGTTACCATGAGTGTGTCTTCAGAGTCCTCTCTCGCCTTGTGCGAGGTTGAAGGTTGTTCGTTGCCTCTGCCTCTGGGAAACAATCATCTGTCTTTCCTCCGTCATGCTGCCTGTTGGGTCGATAACTACCTGCGACCTGGAGTCTTGCAAGACTTGTTTTCCGTTTGTGCTCCAATTTCCCTATTTTTCATATGAAGATCTCAGGGGTCAGGCGGCAGCTGTGTTGCATGCTAGTTTCTCTTTGTTGCAATGGGCCAGGTTGGTCACCCGGTTGGAAGCCCCAGAGCTGTCTCGCTTTGGTTTCAAGACTAGGATTTAGAGGCGTGGGTCGCTTCGGCCTTGGTTCTGTTCGCGCCCTTGATTCCTTCCCAGGTGGGCGTGTTGGTAACTTGGTGGAAATCCCGGTTGGTTTCATTAAAGGTTCGGACTTGGCTAGGCATTGTGTGGGATTGTCAGACGGCGTCGCCCTCGCTTGAGGTGCTGGTGCTCACGGATGCCTCGTCTCTCGGCTGGGGCTTATAGTGACCAGTGCTCACCAAGCCAGCCAGGGACGTTGGGCACCATCCTTCCATCGGGTGCACAGCACGGTGCGGGAGTGTGACAGGCGCTGCGGTGGATTCAGCTTCCTTGGGGCTCTATGATCTGGCTCTATTCGGACTGCTCCCCTTGTGGTTCATTGTCTCGGCTTTCTTAGTGAAGAGCTGAAGAATTCTGCTCTTCTGCTAAGTTCTCAGGATTTGCTCTCTGCAAATAAACAGAGAGAGCACTGTCAACGCCATCTCTTTCCTTTGATTTTGTCGGACGTTATAAGCACCCAGAGGTGGACCTCTTCTCGTTGGTGTGATCTGTGTGTCTTCCCTTGTATGAGGCGCCATTTCCCGTCTGTAAGGCGGGGAGATTCATAGTCCTGAGGTTCCGGGTTCGATCCCTGGTGGAGGCGGAAACAAATATGGGCAGAGTTTTTCACCTTGATGCACCTGTTTACCTAACAGTAAATGGGTACCTTGGAGTTAGACAGCTGCTATGGGCTGCTTCCTGGGGGTGTGTAACCAAATGGAGGCCTGGTCGAGGACAGGGCCACGGCGACGCTAAGCCCCTTAATCATCTCAAGATGATCATCTCTAGGCGCTCGCGGTGGATGCCTTCAGGCAGGACTGGTCGAGATGGGGTTCATGTACCGAATCTTTATCCCTGGTCCAGCTGTCACTCCGGGTTTTGGCTTTGCTAGAATCCTATAAGGGAGAGTGCTTCTCCTGGCCCCATGGTGGCCATCCTAGCCTTAGTTTTAGGTGCTGCTTGCTTGGTGTCCGAACCCGGGTGTCTTTCTGCGGCTCCACCTCTGTCAGCAGGTCGGGCCTGTCAGGTACCTTGCTGGTTTCGACTCTTTCTTCCGCTCTTCAAGTCTGGATTTTCTGACGCGGGTGTATCATCATTTGTTTGGTGATCAGGTCTCTGTTGTCTCAGCGACAGTATGAAGTCTCCTAGCAATCTTTCAGCCATTTCCTCTCCGTTCATAGGGTATCGTCTGTCTGTTAAGGTTGTTTTGTCCTTTCTCTCTCGGTTTTTCTGGACTGGCTTCTGATGCTGAGTACTGTCGCTTCGTATTTTGTAGTGTTGGGGGAGCTGCATTCGGGGTGGATGTCACTTCTCCGTTTTGCAAGATGTCTCGGACATTTTTCACCTCCGGCCTGCTCATGCACTGCCTGAGCCATCCTGGTCTTTGGACCTGGTGTTCTCTCTCTTTTCTTTCTTCCTGTCGATTTGTTGTCGCCCTCTTTGGTTCGGGATTGTTTTCTGAATGCCTTGTTGTTGACTTTGGGGGTCAGGTCAGGGAGCTGTATACTCTTCTCCGGCACTGGGGGTTCTTCTTTTGGACCTGGTGATCATTTGTTCGTTTGCAGCCCTCTCCTTTTCTGGTGAAGAATTTGGTGGCTGGTTTCTGGAAATGTCTGTTTGTGGTGGTTAAGCCAGGGGTGCATCATGTCCTGTGTCCTTTGGTGGTGTTACATTTACTACCTGCAGGCCACTGGTTCAGTGTCAGTGGACACTCTGGGTGCATCCGGTTTCCCCTAGGTTCCCTTTTCCAGGATTCGTGTCTCGGGTTATCCACAGCATCAAGTCTCGCCAGCCTGCAGGCTACCCGTGTGCCCATGGTGTGAGGACATGCTGCTCTAGCTGCTGTCTTCGGTAATATGTCTTGGGTCAACATTCAGGTGCGGTGGGGTTGGGAGGTCGCATGGGGTCCTGGCCTCCTGATGTCTCGTGGACGTTCCGGGCCCTCTCTGGCTGTGGGTGGCGCTGTGGCGTCTGTTGCGGCCGGATGTCTTCCGCGTCTTGAGACCTGTGGAGCTGCCACCTCCCGGGTAAGTCCCTGTTTTTACTTATCTGTGGGTAGTTAGCTTCTGAGAGCTGACAGGGTTTCCCACAGAAAACTAGCATTGAATGTAATGACACGCTATTTTCTGGGCGAGCCCTGAAGGTTCCCTGACAAGTGGTCGGCGGTTTTTCATTATTCTAGAACTGAAGGGTGAGCTGTCGGCTTGCCTGAACTGGTCCCAGGGAGGCGCTAATGAGTGAATGTTTTGCTTTGTTCGGACGTAGGTTGCAGTTTTCACCAGTTTGTGGTTTATGTTGTTTTGCCTATCTTTCTGGGTGCCCTCCCTGATCAATGGCAAGTAGAGTGCTCATAGGCCATTGCTCCCTGCACCTCTGAGGGGACAAGGTTCTGGCTCATAGTCCTCGGTAGGCATAAAGAACGCCTGGGACTGATGACACCAAACTAATATTGCACATGTCAGTTTGGATGGCTTTAGGGAGCCTCTGGGGCTCGCCCAGAAAATTTTTCATTACATTCAACGCTGTTTTTTTTTTTACCTCTTTTGAAACCCTACCCATTCCCCTTCTTCCCTATCCTGTAAAGTCCACACACA